ACACAACACACAACAATACCCAGTGTGTCCCAGGTGCGTGTGAGTGCAGCCTGTTGACCTGTTTGTCTTAGAGTGCGAACGTTGAATGCCGCCATGGAAACGGGATAGCGCGGTCTTATATGAGACTTTTGCCGATAGGCGTCCGATAGGTGCTGTGGGATGGTGGCTGCAGATGATTCCACTCCAGTAGCACTTCGGTTGCTATCAATTAAACCGGGGATTAATAGAAGGAAGATTAGTAATGGGCGCCGGGATGGGTGTAAGAGAAACAGGTGGAAAAGAAAGAAGGGAGGCGCCAGCAGTAGCATGTTTTCGCTTATCCGCCCTGCTGTATGCAGCAGATAAGGCGACACTTGGTAATCTGCGCGACAGCCGATGCACGATGAAGTTTATGATTGAGGAAAATGTCATGGTTGTATGTGGGCTGAGATACTGCCAGAGCGCCCAGACCTAGACAGGAGGACGATTAGGGTCCTCAGCCAAAGCCTTTGGCTCAAAAGCCTGTCCGCAAGGCAGCGGGGAGGTGGACATTAGTTATTTTTACAGAAATGGACGCCATCCCATTTCAAACCCCCAAGCTGGAGGACCAGGAGACTGAGTTTGTCTGACCTCTCACCATTGATCAACCCGGTAGGAGTAGCCCTCAAGGTGCTCAATGGGTCAATGAGGTAGGCAAGCCGTCGCACCACGTTAAGGTCCAGTCTCGTTGCGACGGCCATAGTGACAGGCAAATCCGAAACCGGATGCGGCCAAACATATATATATATATATATATATATATATATGTATATATATATATATATATATATATATATATATATATATATATATGAGATGTGCCCCATGCTGAGGCTGATGTTGCATTCATGGTGCTTCTTCACTGTAGTTGGGCTGAGCCAACTTACACTTATACTAGGTCTTTTTAAGCCGGATAAATTTCATACCACTTTATTTGCATTGTTCTGCTTACCTGAATAATGATCTATTAACTGGCCACGTTGCTTACGCTAATTGTGGTTAGATTCGTTAATTTTATTGTGATTGTAGTATATTTTGGGTAACTCGTGGACATTTCGTACTAATCGCGGATTCGTTGGTAATTACCTTAATTCATATGCTAATTTATCGAAGAGTTATGTCGGTGTAGCCGTATTCTTTAACAAATCGATTTTATTTGATAATGTCATTTCAAATGATTGGCTGTTGTTTGACATCCCCGGTGTGGCTGTGCTGGATGTGCATGTTGACAAGGTGCCTACTTGTCTATTACCCACTACCTCGTCCATACTGGCACTAGGAGACAGTTGGTCGTTGCTGGAGGGGACGGGGTGCACGGTTCTTGTGGCCGTGCTAGGCTCAAAGAGCGGTTCCATGCACTCAGTGTGGAGCGGACTACGGTCCAGCCACCGCCTTGTGTGCGCTTGATTCCCGAAATAAGGCGTGCTTGTGTTTGCCTGTGAAGGAGTGTGGGCCGGCTCCGTTGATGAAACGTGGCTCCCATCCACATGCCTCCCGGTCTTATTCCCTCGGGTTCACGCTGGATATGAGAGGGTGTGGTTGGAGCTGTGGGTGGTGCAGCGCAAGCCACCCATGGTCCCTCAATAGGCGCAAGCGTCCTGTGGCTGGCCACAGTGACAGGCAAATCCGAAACCGGATGCCGCCAATCATATATATGGCTCAGCTGGTTGATAGTGGGCATGAAGTCGACCCAATCCGCGCCTTTCGGATACTATACAAGGCTGTGCCACTCCAGTCGGAAGGTCTGCGTCTCCGCGCTCTCGCCACAGCCGAGGCGATTAGTATTCGATTGTATCAACCGCTTTGGTGTTCACAATAGAAACTGATCGAAGCTCTTAAGCTACCCTGCCCGACAAAATGGACGATTCGGAGGCCAGGAACAATCGTTTGACTACATATTTGCCCTAGTTTGCGCTTATGGTTTACGTTTATTGCTGGTTTATGCCCCTGGTTGGCACGTGATCTAATTTCATTCGAAATGATCGAAACCATTGTTAGGCTCATTGCTCTGCTACCCATATGATGGTAAAGGTCTGACGACGAATTCATCGAAAACAATTTGATTTACCACATGAAGACATACCTGCTGCTAATAACGTCTGGCGGATATGCGTCCAGTGATCTTCAACTGTGTTCAATGAGCGTTTACGCAGCGCAGATGAAAGCGTACATTGATACGCATTCAGAACATCTTGCTTCGCCAGCTGGCAAATATTCATGAGTTCATAAAGCCGTTGCGGACGTCCACCGAAACGCAACCGGAGATCGGTGCAAACAAGTGCGTGTCAGAGTCCACAGTCATGCTCCAAATCGAGCGACAGTTTTGAACATATCCCCTCCAAATGTAACTGATCGCAATGTGACAGATTTGTGTCCACGGCTGGTGGGCGCCGTCACCCTTCTGCAGGTGCTGCGGCGGAAGTTAGTGCTTGAAAGAAAGAGACGAGCATCTTGACATAGGTGTAGCAACCGTCAACCTATACCGCCTACACCGTGTTGACCGCCCAGATGAAGCTCATCAGAGGAGAGTTTTCCGACTTGGGCGTTCAAATCACCAGCAAGTACCACAGTATCCGCACCATTTTTGTGACGGAGCAGTGCGTTTAATTGGTGACAGAAGTCGTCTTTGACCGAATAAGCGCTACAGTTTGTGGACGCAAAATCCACAATAACAAACAGGCACCGGTTGTCCCATGTAACTTCGATGGTTTGAACGAGCCAGCCAATCTGACAGCACAAATGTGGCTGCTCATTGGGATCCAATCAATCAAGGTAGATTCAGCTGGGAGGCTGAGAGCAACGTCCACGGTGGCTTGATCGGCATTTGAAGCCGCGGCATCTCCGGACAAACGCAATGAGAATGTGCCCCAGTGTCGCATGCGGGGAATCTCAGGTTAATCACAGAACTCGAATCTTGCCGGTGAGTTTCTGACAAGCAGCAAATATCGAATGATAGGGGAGAGTGGCTAATTTTTGACATGAAAAATCGGCCTGGAGGGACTTTGTGTTCCGGTACACCAGGCTAAATGGTGATGCTTTCATAACTGGATTTGAAAGAGATGTGTATAGGTCGCTTTGTGCTTAAGTATGTACAAAAAATGGTAGTTGGTAAGATATATTAGTTGTAAATTTCGCTTTCATCGCGATTTTAAAAAATACAAAAAATACAATAATCAGACAAGTGATATGTATACCCCTTATCCAAGCAGGTAACTTGCTGCAAGTATAAACTTTACATACATGAAACAGTTGTATTAACCCTTATTTGCTCCATAAAACAGCTGTTTACGCTACGTTTTTATTTAGCATTTGCCTGCTTACCATTATGCCGTGAACTTCAACTACGCCTGTAGTCATCACTTTAATTTATCATAACCGTTTTCACGAAGTAAATTCCTATAGCATTATTTTCTATTTCCCAGCACCTTAATACCACAAAAATTAAGAATATACTCTGCAGCCATTCAAACAAACTTGGATGCTACCTAAGACAACGGTAGCGAAACCCTTTCCCGCCATGCCAAAAATTTGCCCCTCCCAATGATAGGGTCTCCAGGGTCCGGGCAAGTGCTGCCTGTTGGCCAATCTGTAACAAAGTGCGCACGTTTAGCCATTCCAATCTTAGCGAGGATCAAGGACTCCAAAGATAAACAGATGAAGTGACGTTTTCCGATGGGTTCAACATGTAGTTGTCGACTGGGGACTAAAGCCCCGGACGGCAATCGCGCGTGGGTTAAAACTAGAAGTGATTATTGAAGCAAGTCAGTGGTGGGTCAAGTACTGAGGGACCGGAAGCATTGAAGTTGGAGCGGGAGGCTAAAAATGAAAATGCGCGAGAAGGGAAAGAATAAGATGTGAATGCTTGAGCAGTGGCATCCAAACCCATATCCACCCCGCTCGATGCAGCAGATAGGGCGCCGTTTATCATCCTCCGCGACGGTCAGAGCATCAATAAATTGTGTGAAGATAAGTTCATTGAGTTGTACTCCGTGGGCAGGATACTGTCAGGTTTCCCAGGCCTAGACGGGAGAACGATTAGGGTTCTCAACCAAACCCTTTGGTTCAAAAACCTGACCACAAGGCAGCGGGGTTTTGGCACTGGACTACAGTGAGCCCGTTTTATGAAGTAAGGAGCCATCTTCACTCCAACCCTAAACCTGGAGGGGCAGGAGACTAGGTTTTTCATGTCTATATCCATTGATCAATCTGATAAGAGTGGCTCTGAAGGTGCAATAGCACCATCCAGCATAGCCCAATTGAGGTACACAAATCATCGCGCCGCGTTAAGGTCCAGTGTCGGCGCGATGGAAAAGTGACTCAAATCAACGCAAAAATAGTTTGGGCATCCACCGATTTTGTCTGAAGTCACCAACGTGATTGTATATGGGTGTTGAGTATTATCAAATCGATCTGGGAAAGGTCAGGGGAAATGGAAGCACAAGGATCCGGAAAGAGAATGAAGCTTGGTACTCGGATCAGAGTTCAATTAACGAACACTTAGAGTCAATAGCTACTACGGGTCGATGCGCACGAAACCAACAACCTGCCTCAGGTCAGAAGGACAAAGAAGACGAGCACTTGGTCAACCTACCACCCATCCAGCGTAGAGACAAAGAGGAACACGGAAACCAAAGCTTGACCTCTAACCAAAATTACAGGCAAATCAGGTTCACTAGTAAATCACTTCCTTGAAAGCTGTCTCCTGGTTTACTAACGAAACTTTTGCTGTTAAAACACCCAGCTCGAAGAAAGGCCTAACACTTTCATCTACATCCCGAGCTATGTTCTCAATAGTCATTAACATTAAGAGTCATAGTATTTGCTAGTAAACTGAACTCGAAATGATCCCCAAACTGGTTGGATTGGAAATTCAAAGTGGCAGAAGTTTGCGGAGCACAGTCGGAAGAGATGACAAAATGGGTGCGATCGTGAACTGTGCTAAAGCGTAACTAGCGGCGCTAACTGTTTCATAGTAAACTTACTGGAGTTGCTGTTGTAGAAGTATTTGCAGTCCTTGGCGGTTGATCAGTCGATAAGCCGTGATCCGTTCCATAGTTTGTTCCAATACGGTACGGGATAGAGGAGTCCCATTGGCTGGCGGTTTCTGCAAACCTAGTCCGTGGATATGATGCACAATTGATGATACTTAGCAAATCCGTCACCAGCGGAGCGACAGTTCGTGGAAATTCGGCGCACTCTCCAGTTAACTTGTCTCGATGGCAAGTAACGCCAAACTTCTCCGTTATATCCGAATGGCTGCGATGTCCCAACAACTTCGGAGGCAGACACCGAAATAAGTAGCATAAGGTGACCCTTGAGTCTGCATGGAAGACAGTCGGTTGCAAAATGTATCAGACAACGTTCGACAAAGAAAAAAGGAGTGAGAAGACACCGCTAAAGTGGTGAGAGAAGAGGGAAGGCCTAAACGGACAGTGTTTCATTAAGTAATGATAACAGGACAGTGTGAAACTGACTGAAGAAAACCAACGGCCAGACCATTCAAAAAATGGAACGGAAGTACGGGCAACAGCCGATCATGAAGGAGGCAAGTGCTGTTGTATCCACACGGCAATTCAAAACAAACTTTGCAATCCAAATACAAATAAGTCAGAAAGAATGTTCTGTATTATACCGTGATGAAATGAACACTGTTTGCTTTGTTAATGTCTTAACTCAATCAGGGAAAGGCAACGTACTCTGCTGTGGACTGTTTCATGTCCGAAACAAATACTAGCTATTAACGTGACTTTCCTCTCCCTGGGCTACCTAAGATGACATTCATAAATCAGCAATCCATTTAGAACAACTGCGGCAGGCCCACAAGGTATCTTTTGGTCCCGAGAGAATGTACAAAATCCAGAAAATAAAGAGTCTATCAAAATCGAGTTCAATAGTCCACAGAATATAGAACGAACACGGTTGCGTCATGTAGGGTTAAGCTTCATTAAGATAGAAGGAGATCATCCAGCGCAAGCATCCAGTCCAATGCTCCAAACCAGTAACCCCTTCAGCTGCGGATCAGTACGTTTATTAAAACCGTCTCTATTAAGGCTGTCAGCAAATCCTATCGTTTTTTCTAGTACTGGAATAAACCGATCAAAATTAATCATGCGGCATAAACGAAAATGAGTCGAGACCAAATGTATTCGGAAGAGTTCATCACCAACACCACTGCACCAGTCATCTGCGCTGATGCTTCATAGACGTACAAGCACGATGACCCGAGAAATGAAGAATAATAAGAGGGGGGAAAGGATGACTGATATAATTGCCTTTTGGTTAGGCCACGCTCTAATGATCTGGTATCAACTCCCCTAGCCGACTGAACGAATGTGGCTTGGAACTATTTTACACACGACAAAGCAACCAACAAAATTCGAAGTAGTACGACCCGTGAGACTTAGAGGTAACACGGTTAGTAAGCGCGAGTTGAACGGGCTCCTAGACCGAACCCAATTTCACACGCAGCTACCCAAACCAGAGAGAACAAGACAAAAAGAGAGGCATTTCGCGTAGGCACTTTCACTGGCCAGGCCCAAAGCGATTACAGCTCAGTAAGCGTTTCTTTGATACCTCGATGATGCCAATGATTTGCGCAAGCAAATACTGAAAGCCACTGAATTGGTACTATGCAAATATGCCAACGGAACAGGTTGAAAAGGGAAGGTTGGTAGATGCAGAGGCTGGATTAGAAAACGGATGTTCCTTAGGTAAAAAAGGCTGTTTTATGATTGCGAAGGTTGGCCGGAAACAGGAATTTTTTCTGAGGTACAAAGGCCAATAGAAACGTGAATGTCTCAAGAGTTGGAAGCTGATCGAAACATGCGCAGTTGTCTGAATCGAGTCTCATTACCTTCCACGGTTTAAGCTAATGATCAATATGGAGACGTTGGGTTCTCATAACAAGGACCTAGAGTAAAACCTTAATGCCCTAAGCAAATACTCAGGCTCAAGGCGACTACACCTTGTCAACAACAAATCATCAAAAACAGCTTGCTATTGTGCAAAGATAACGCGGCATCAGCGAGACAGCTTCCTTGAGAATTTCACTGCTCTGCGTCATAATAATCCATTACCCAGCGGATAACTCAGCACCAAACACACTTTAAACAAGCAGTACGACTAAGAGACGGTGGTAGACGCACTATTGGCGCCGACTGAGAGCCATGACCCGTAAAATCTCGAGCCAAGCACAAGGTGGGTCACGTGGACTCTAGCCTGGAATGCAAGAAGGACCGACAGCACCCAGTTTTGCAGCCAGTACCTTCGTTTCCGCTGCCAAATTAACTTGTCCACCTCGAGCCTTGCACGACCCTACATCTGCTGTGACCAGGCATACGTAATCCATGCCCAAGCAAATGCAAGTTTATTCAGTGCTATCTATTGTTCTAAGAAAATAGCCTGATTATTACGGTTTAGCACCCGCCTACGCACATCATCGTTGGGGACCTGCCGGTGCCATCAGACGCCAGCAATTTTATGCATGCAGCGATGATCCAAGACTTGGTGGCGCTTCAGATACGGAAGATTAGTGGGTACGGAATTCGACGAAGTAAAAAGAGACCGCCAAACAGTAATCCGCATGGTATACTGTTAGGTTCTGGTTGTGATACGTACCGTCGTCAAGCCGGATTACGAATAGTGTTGAAACGGAGGTCATCTATTCTTGTTATCTGGGTTGCATAGGAAATGGACATGTTCGTCAATATTTACTATGAACATTAGCACAGCATCGTCATTCTTCAACTTAGCTAGAAGTCACATTGCGCAGCAATTAAGTGAGTGTAAAAATGGAAAGTGGGAAGAACAAAAGATTACACAATTAGATTTTGCTAACTATCAGAGATGAGACCGTGGTTGGAGACTGGGGCTAAGCGAAGGAAGGAACCCGAAAACTAACAAAAAGCTACTGAAATCGGGACGTAGCTGTGCCAACAAATGGTTCAAACCAAATGCGTTCGTTGTTTTTGGAACTCGAGAATCGGTAGGAACTCGACGAGACCTACATCGAAGTGAGAGCATTCATCACTGTTCATTAAGTCATCGGTTAGACTCCTCTCCTTCTACTCACACTTGGGCTGCGAGAACAACAAGGGTCGCGGAAGTCGAGTTGTTGGTGTTTAAATCACATACCGCCTAGAGCATGAGATAACAATGCTGAGTGGTCCGCTCGCACTTACTGCACCAAAAAAACAAATGAGAGAACACCCTCATTGCTAAGGTGGTGTTCCCAGACGTAAGTTAAACTGCGAAGGCACCGATGACTGAATGCAACCAGTTTCTTTACGCCTACCAATCTCGTTAAGCAGGTTTCGGACGGCCGAAAGGTAAACTCTCGCCTTCCAGATAAAGTAATGGTATAGGTGTGCAAATACCTGAATTTTTGAACGATTTCTAGCAGATCGCTACTTAGGATCGGCGAAAGGGGGCGGTTGATGCAAAATGCCTTAAGTGATTAACCGCATCGCTGATCATAGTTTGCTCCACAGGACAACCAGTGACAAACCCAGTCGACAGCGTCAGCTAGTGGATTGTGTGGAACACTCCGAAAAGAAGGAAGCGTGATGTAGTGCTTCAGATGATTGGCTTTCGATTCTTACACTCCGGGCTCTAGCTCCTGCTGGCACACTGTTGCTGAGGCCCCTGTGGGACCCCACCCTGCGTACGCTCGCTTGCGGATACATTACAGCGAAGGATCAGTACACAGTACTGTTATAGTGCGGATACTCATCATACCAACACTTCAGTTGGTCAGCGGAGTCATCTACTTGCCTACTCCCCGAGATACAGTTTTGTGTAGAAGCAAAAATACTAAAACTGGTAACGCGCTAAACTTCTTTGCGGAAAGGGTCTAAATGCTGGTACGGTAAAAGCAAGCACAAATAAAGCTGATCAAATCATTGACACAGCCGCAGTCTTTAAAAACAACTTCGCGGAATACACAGGCAAGTTAGATTGATTTCTTCTCCGATTCCATTACCGAACACAACTATGACGTTGATTTCGGACGAACTTTTGATGCCTGGTTCAGGTACATATATATATCACAATCTGTGTACATATATTGTGCCAATGGAACCATGGCGGAATAGGAAAACAGAGTTAGAGTAAAGGAAGAAAGAAAACAAAATTTTTTGTTCATTATTAAAATCACAGTTTTTGATGTCTTTCATTTGGGGAGGGAAGGGGAATCACCGCAACAGGCAGAGATACACGCCCGCCGCTGCGTTCGGTTCCGAGCCATGACTTGCAACATTTCCAACCGGCACTCAGTATCCTTGGGACCCCATCCAGGGAGTCGGGAGGAACCAACCGTGGCCAGCTGTACCGTCAGCTTTTTCATCCTGTTTCTCCAAGTTGTGGGCTGTCCATTACACCACCTCCTCCAACCCTGTCCAGCGACCGCGGAAAAAGCACGACGCGGAAGACGCTGAACGGGCATACGCAGTATGTGTCCGAGCCATCGTAGTTGGCGCAGTGAGACAAGCGCCTCGAGGGAGTGGCTGTCTCCACCCAAGGCACGCTGTCTGAGTTCAGTGTTGGTTACGTGGTTCAGCCGCCACACACATGCAATGGACCGCCAGCAACGGTTCTTGAAGACAGTCAGTCGAAGTAGGTCATCGGTACGAGCAAGTCAAATCTCGCAACCGTACAATAGTACAGCCTGGACAGTAGCACGATAAAGCCGTACTTTCATGGGGAGACGAATGTCATGGCGGCGCCATAAATGCCTCAGCCTGGAGAAGCGAGACGAGCACTTGAGATACGCATCAAAATCTCGTTTCCAACCTCCCAACCAGCAGTTATGCAGCTTCCCATGTAGACAGAACTCTGTACTGCTTCTAACGTTTCCCCATCGATGGTGAATGCAGATAGGGGCGTATACCAGTCTTGAAAAAGCGCTTTGCACTTGGATGGTGAAAGGTGCATGCCATACGTCGACGCTTCAATCGCCAGGCGGTTAAGTGCAAGTTGGACGGCCTGCGGACCGTCATCCAACAAGACGATATCATCTGCGCAATCCAAACCAACCACCCGACTACCTGGGAGGAGCTCAACGCCAACGTTCAACAAGTCTTCTAGGGCATTTTTGAGGACATCCTCAATGGCAAAAATGAAGAGGAATGGAGAGATAGGGCATCCTTGTCAAACCCCACTGGTGACAACAATGGAAGGCGAAACCCTGCCATAAACCCTAACTCTACCCGAGGTCAGACTATGCAGAGCACGCAGAATGGAAACGAGCTTCCCGGAAACACCATTCCTCAACAGACAGTGCCACAATGCAGCCCTGTCGACAGAATCCAAGGCAGCACAGAT